AAGGTTCAAATACAAAGAGCTCTTCCTATGGAAAGTGAGAATGAATTTTGTGCGTTCATTTCCACATCTAATGACTCAAAATGAGCCAAAAATGCATTAAATTCGACCAAAATCGCGGGTGGCAATGTCGTAAACAAACCACACTTTTTCGCTACCGCGAAAAAGTAAAAAGAAACACGAAAAAGTGCGAGCGAAACATGAAAAAGTGCATATCTTCACACTTAGCACGAAAAGATGTCTTTTTATTTGAACTCTTTCCTATGTGTAGACACACACACAACACACACACATTAGTTTCAGTGGTGTCATTTGACACCACAACCTAACATGTGGCGTCGTCCCTGCGTATGAGTTGGTTGGATCATCAGTTTGACTAGCCATCGAAAAGGATATTCAATTGAGCGCTAACTTTGTCTCAAAGTGAGATGGTAGTTCAGAACGAGGGTGAGTAGTTGAAACTTCAGAAGAACTAGGTTGAACTCGTCTTGCCAACAATGAGCAATGAAAATTCACCACTCAATTAGTTATACTGATGAGGAACACACAATTTATAGACATTGCTAGGAGGAGAACAAATCACATCGTTTCTTTACTTGTCAAGCTCGAAGATGAAGGATAAGCTCGCAGATGAATTCTGATTTCATAGAGGTTATGCGTTTTCCTCTTATTTGAATTTGGGCAATCTTCAATTCAATTTTTTTGAAAGGAATTTTCAATATTCAATTCCAGTCAAAATTGAATTTAGTCAATTCTGGAGTCCGCACGACCTAGCTTCAACTAATCTTCTGCTATTTGAATTCTTCCAAATCTCCGACTTTCAGACAAATTTCTTGATTTTCTTCTACCCTCTCAAAGAGGATTCAAATCCAACGAGGTTTTAGCAACATCGTCTCCATCAAACTTAAAAAAAAACACTGCCATTTCACCAACAGATAGGTAAATTTAATCCGTAATATATTTCTTCTTAAATTACCAATTATTATTAATTTTAACATGAATTATGTTTTTGATGTATTTTCCAGTTTTTTAGTATAAAAAGATAAAGGCCCTGTTTGTTTTTTGGCGGATTCAGACCAAACCGCTGGAAAATGCAGCGTTTTCATTTGGAAAAAACGGCGGATTGAAGGCAAGCCGCTATTATCCATACGGGACCAAACACTTTTTTCTCATGATGTCCCTTTAATCCATCTGAGCTAATTTTCCCCTTCATCTAATGATCTAACCATTATATTGCACCTTCTAGGATTGCATCTCTTTGATTCAAAATATGAAACCATGATGGAGATCCTCATGAGGGAGCAATATCCATTCATGTTTAACTAGAAACGTGGACTTCGGAGACGAAATTCTAAATTGGAGGGGGGGGGGGGGGGGGGGGGGAACTTGTAACACCGGCGCATTTACATTTTAGTAAATAATGTAACAAACCTTGAAGAATGATTTATGAATTTACGTGATTTTAAATTTTTGTTAGTTCTTTGGCGTGAATAGTATATTGCACGTGGGGCCCACATCGGGGATGAGGGACATCCAATAATTTCGAGACCTCATATGGTATTCATCTTGGTCTAGATAATATGTATATGATGGTGGGTATCCTATTTGGGCCATAACAAGGGCATAGGGTTGACCGGTTGGTCAAACATGCCCAATTATCAGTTTTGGTAATTTATCGGATAACAGTCCGAAATGAATTTCGGAGACTTCTAAATTTAAGTTGGGGAATGTACATCCATTCTAAAGGCTTATAATGATTAGGAACATGTATCATATTTTATTTGACCCGATAAAATAAAATATAATTAAAATAGTGCGAGAAATAAAACTTTCGGGGCTGATTGTGCACTTCTGGACTCAAAGGGGTGACCTCCCACATGTGTGGGAGCCAACCAACGTTTTTAGTCTTGCAAAGAGAAAGGGGAGCCGCATATGTGCATGGGAAACAAAGAAGAATTGACTTGGGAAACCAATCAATTAAATGGAGTGAGACCTATTCATCACATTATTGTGAGAAATGCAAGGCATTCTCAATCACCCCTCCAACCAAGAGTTCGACCAACCTTACATTTTTGAGAGAGAAGCTCTGCAAAATTGCATTTCCACCATTGCTTTTCAAGCTCAAGCCATAAGAGTTCAAAGAAGAAGATTAAGGAAGGAAAAAGAAAGTGTGAAAAATTAAGGTAATGACTTTATCATAACTTTTCATCTACTTCTTATCTATCTTATGAATTATATATCATATGGAGGACCCCTAGAGTTGTTCTACATGTTTAAAAGTGTAGAACAAGGGTTTGGAAGGTAGTTCTAAATCCAAGAACGGACTTAGAAGCCAAAATGACTGGTCCACCGGAAAATAACTTTTTAGAGGTTATTTGTGTTGATATGGGTTTTGTGATGATAAAACCTTGTTAGGATCTTGACTCAGGTGTTCCTAGTTTTCTCCGGAGTTTCACCGGAGTTCACCGGAGTTTCGCCGGAGTTCAACCGAGAAAGGTAGAACTTCTTAAAGCTCATTCGAGGTGAGGATGACCGACTATATTACTTATAATCAGTGAGTTAATTTCATAAGATTACCTAAAGTATTAAATGTGATTTTCATGGATTATTAATGATTAATAATGCCTACATGAAAATACCATTGCATATGAGTAAATGAAGCATGATATACAAATTTAAAAGAAATTGTGTATGATTGTGTATTATGAATATGATAGCATGATAATGAAATAAATTGCGAAAGATTGTGATAAAATATGCTTTTACTTCATGGAGAGAATTCATGAATGGATAAAAGTGATATTTTTGATATTAAGATTTAATCATATTTGAATTGGAAAAATCGATTGAGATGAACAATATGATTATGAATTTGAACTTGGTTGTTCTAAGATTAATTGGTTAGTATTGAAATACTAGCCGAAATGTTAGCATGAAAATTGATAGAATAAATCCTAAGGGCTTGGATTATGAAAGATGTACCTTAAGTAGTCTTATGAAATACTTTAAGGTAGGAATGTGTAAATGCTAAGTTAAGCTAGGAGTAGACCTTGAATGCAACTCAATATAAAGTGATTCTAGACATAGAAGTTGCTTAGGAATTTGAAAATATTACTAGAGGGAGCCTCTAGCATATTACTCTAGCATATTGAATGGTGACTAAAGGAAACCTCTAGCATAACATAAGATGAATAGAGGAAGCCTCTAGCATAATGGAGAGTGACCAGAGGAAGCCTCTAGCACGAAATGGAGTGACTAGAGTCAGCCTCTAGCACAACGGAATAATATAGATGAGTGTGACTCTACTATAGTGAAATGACGTATCGAGGTAAGCATGGACCCACGGGCCGACTACTTGACTTTATATATAAAGTAAGTATATTTTTTAGGAGGGTAACCAAGGGTTATGGCTTATAATATATTATCACCCTAGATTGAGGGTCTTAGGAATTGAAACATTGATTATATACAGTGTAGTTGTCATTGTACTTTTCAAATGATTCAAAGTACTGACCTACCCTTCACGAGGGAGGCCACCTCACAGTTTCAGGTAGAACTTGAAGTTTGTTACCATCGCTCGTTGCTTCGGGGAGATCGGAGGAAGAAGACTTGGTTCGTGCTTCTTCCGTTTCTGTTTTGAAAACAATTTAAATAATGCTCATGGATATTACTTTTGAATAATTAATTGAGGGCTTGCATGCCTAAGTTTGCCAAGTGTGGCTCCAACATTTGTATTAATGTTTTTGTTGGTTTAATGAATGTTTTTACATTATATTTGTTTATGAACGTACTATGTGTGAATGATATTCCAGACGCTTTGTGTAGTATGAATGTGTTGAACTGCGGTTGACTATTCGTATTGTACGGCGGGTTGTTGTTGTGTCCGGGTAGGTTCGGGACGTGACAATAATGTTATGACAACTTAAGTTTAAAAGTTGGACATTAATTATTATGATTAAATTACTACTATAGTCACTAGTTATATTTTGAAAAATTATCATAAACAAGACTAAAAACGTTTGTACTTTTCAAACATGACAATAATTATATCTATTTAAGAAATAAAAATATGACAATCCTATTTTATAATTATGAAATATTTTACTCATTATTTCGGAAATTTTACGAAATATATTTATAAACCATTTCTATTTTAGTTATAAATATGTAAATATTTCTTTTTTTCTATTCTCCATATATAGTATTATACGAAAGTATGTAGTATACACTATAAAGTACTACTTCATCCGTCCCATTTAAAGGTTCTCGTCAACTATTATCCGGGTAACGTGCATTGTGCTTAATATTTTCCTTTATGATTTTTTTTTTTCATTTTTGGTCCCCCGACTTTTGTGTCAGTTACACTTTTCGTACCCGACTTTTAATTTTTCTATTTTTAATCCTCAACTATTGTGCTGGAAACGTTTTTAGTCATTGGCTTCAAAGTTTCCCACATTTAGTCTCTTGAGTATTATCAAGTTGACACTTTTAGTCCTTCCACTATGATTTTGACACAATAAGTGGAGGACTAAACATGTCACTAATATAATAGTTGAAGGACCAAGAGTGTCACTTCTATGAAAGTCGTGGGACTGAATATGAAAATTTTCAAAGACGGGTACCAAACGTGTCTCTAACACAATAGTCTAAGACTAAAAGTGGAAAAGTCAAAATCGAGTATCAAAAGTGTCAATGACATAATAGTCGGAGGAGCAAAAGTGGCAAAAACTCTTTACTTTATATATCAAAAGTTTATGAAATTTAAATTATTTTTTACAGGTTTTGTAGCGGTTTTAATGTCATTTCTAAATTTATAAATTTTATTTACTAAAATTAATTTTATTAATGACAGAGATCACTTAACTTTATGGTCAGTCAAATATCGTAAACCGCGTGAGAACCTTAAAGTGTGATGAAGATAGTAAAAAAGATTTGTGGCCCAGTAAGATTAATAGTCTGGCCCAGTTTCAGGCCCCACTTAAATAGACTGCCCTTGCCTAAATAGAACTTCCCTAACCCAAACCGGCACTTCGGCTAGTCGCAATCAGCCCGCCGCCTCCCGCCGCTTGCCACCCGCCGCCCGCCACCCCCCGCCCGCCACCCACCGCCCGCCACCCACCACTGCTGCGTGGTTGTCTGCTTCTCACCATCTCACTTCTCAGCTTGTGGCTGCCTTTCAGAGTAAGTGTTTATTCTTTATTTTTTATATATTTTAATTTAAGTTGCTAGTAGCTTGAAATCTTGATTCTTGATATTGAGTGTGTGACTGTTTTACTTATATGAATTTTTTAGAATGTAAAAAGTGAATTTCTTCTAGTTTTGGTGAATTATCTGCTTCACTGTGTGCTTTCATTTGTAAAATTGGAAATTATGTTTAACTGAATTGTGATTTTTAAATTTTAAACATAATAAGGGAGTGTTTGCAATTATTTCTGCTTTGAAAAAATCACTTTTTAAAGTGATTAAAGAAAAAATGCCTAATAGTAAAAGTTGAGGGTGTTTTCGAAAAAAATGATTTTGAAAAGTAAAAGTTGCTAATGTTTGGTAAAATACGTAAAAACCATTTTCTAGCTTCTAGGTTTTACGTGTTTAATTTAAGCTAAAATTGTCACTTAAAACACTCTTTTCAGTTTTTTAACCCAAAAGGTGAAAATCTTTTTTATTTTTTATTTTTTGCAAACATAACCTAATACTCGGTTTGAATTGTGTGATTGAAAATAAATTTTGAATATTTTATTAATTGTTGTCATTTTAATTACAGGAAGTTCTCTAAACATAACCTAAACCACCACCTTATCCACCTTGCGCACCGCCACCTCTAGTCGGCAGAAAAAATGCTTAACTTGTTAACAAAATGTCATGATGGCAATTTTGAAAAGAAAGTTGGATATTTTCAAAGAGTAAAAATACCATCTGCATGACATTTTCAAAGAAATGGGGTATTTTTTACCTATGATGGCATTTTTTCTGGCGAACGGGGCTGGTGGTGCTGGTAGGTGGAGGGTGAGGCGGGAAAGCCCTACAAATATTTTAACATTTTTTTAGGTATTTGTTTTTTTAATGATTTTTAGTTTTTTAATTATTATTATTTGTTTATTTTTATTTTATTTTTTCACGTTTTATTATTATTTTATAAATATTTTATTATTTTTATATTTTTATTATAATTAAAACTATCCTTAAAAAACTATGATTTTCTTATTAGTAATGTACATGTATTAAGAGTTATAGGAAGGAGGTAGAATACAAAGAATGGACTTATGTTACTCCTATTTTTGGAATAAAAAAGTTGTAGTCCTATTGTTGCAATTAGGAGTAATATTAGTCCTATTTAGGGCTAATAATTGTTAAATTAGGTAAATAGGTACTGCTATTGGCTATCCAATCTACTTCGAAAAAGGCAAAAATCATACTGCATTTTAAGCCTACTAGAAGTACAGAAAACATAGAACTATCAAATGACTTGATGGATACTCTAACCATTTCACCTGTTCAGGGGGATTTAGTTTCTGATGCGGTTGAAATTGAGTGGGGTCCGAGAAAACGGAAAAAAATAAGTCATTGGCTGTTAGAGAAAAGTGATGAAATGAGATGATCTTATTTGATGTTGGAGAAAAGAGATGAAATAAAGCGTTCTTATTTGTTGCTTATCAATTGAAACTCAACTTTTACAAAGGCCGAGTTAAAGAACAGTCGTGTTCAGTTAATGTTTTGGTTTCACACATCGCATGTACTTAAAAATATTGTCATGAATTTTAATGGCGTTCTTTAATCATTATTGGTTAATCATTATGTAGAACTGGTAACTCATTTAAAATTTTCTACATAGTGTTTTTAGTTTACAACCCAAACCTCCATCCTGGCTACGCCCCTGATGGTGATGTGTGGTTCTTTACTGCATAGTCTTCCCTTAACTCTCCGGTTCTCTTTTAGGGAAGTTCTGTCAAGATGTCATCTTTTCACTTTGATGATATTATCCAGATTGTCTCAGTCGATGCCGATGGGAAAAAGTATGACAAAGGTAACATCTTGTTTTCTTCTTAAAAATTAATGTATCTTTATAGTTGATTGCTTCAGACAATATGTGCATCCTATTTTTTGAATGGACAGTATGTGCATCCTATTTTTTTGAATGGGGGTTGATAGATATTATATTTAAATATATTGATAAGTGATTTCATATTTTTACTGTTGTATAATCTCAGTCTAATTCCTATGTGCACCCTATTTTTTGAATGGGGTTGATAGATATTATATTTAGATATATTGATAAGTGATTTCACTGTTGTATGATCTCAGTCTAATTCCGCTGTAATCTCCATCCACAACTAGGCGCTAGGACGATTTATAACATCCAGGATGATTTGCAATTTAATCACCTCCATATCTCTATTTTTATGAGTGAAGTTACTTTTCACCCTATTTTTGAGCGAGATGAACTTTGAACAGGTGGGGTGTAAATGTTAAGTTTTAAAAATGGGGTCCAACGTCCAGTTTCGTCAAAAAAGGGGTGCAAGATAAAAACCCCTATATTTTTAAAACCCCCGGTTTCGTTAAAATTTGCAGTTTCTCGAATTGAAGCACAGACAAGAGACGGCGTGACAGATATGCTGCTAGATATAAATTCAGAGTTATATCCTGTTAAGGCGAACGAATTTCATAGGATGGTGCTGTCACAGACACTTGCTCTAGATGGGTCAACAACACACCCTCAGGTATGCTATTCTTTTACTTGGTTGTATCTATAAAATCATCCATTTAATTTTCTGACCCAGTAAATAGTTGGTCCATCCTGACTTAGACCATATATCCCTGCTGTGATATCTTATTTTTCCTGATGTCCAACTGGTTTAGTATTTTAGTATGATGATACAAGCTGATTGTTGTGAATGGATTTTCATTTTTGTCTTTTGGTTTTGGACACAAACCACTCATCTCTTCAAAGTTTCACCAAAAGTATCTTATTTTGGGAACTGAATGCTTGAAACTTCTCTGTAAATAATTTCACTTTCTCGACTTTATTGATGTCTTAAATCTCCATGTCACCACTCATCTCCATGTCTTAATTACCTTTCATATTACTAAACATCGACTCACAAATTATAGCTTAAGCCTTCATTTTTCTTGAAACAGCTACCTTTCAAATTTAACCTGTTTGCAGGGCCAGACGATATCAATCGCAGACAAGTTCGAGTATATCATGCATGGGCTGCTTTATAAGGTTGCAGAGGAATCTTCTAAAGTGTATGTGCTATATTTTTTTCTATTTCATTTATTTGTCCCCAGATACTGACAGAATTTGGATTGGTTTATTTTCAAGTAAAAAGCACTTTTTAAAGGAGCCCAATAAGTGTGTGCAAGGAAAAAAGGAAGGAGTGCTTTCAAACTAGAAAAAAACATTGATATGGTATTTAACAAAAAACACAAGCTTTAGTACTAAAAAAGAGAATGTATCTTCATATAAAGCACTAAAAAGAGTTACTTCATATTAGTATATTACTGAGGCTTTCTTTACATACACTGCAAATAGAGTTCATGCAGTATAACACTACTATAACTCTTTAAAGTATAACTTTGGTTTTGTAAGTCAACTGATCTGAATTTTGTTGATGCGGTCTGTCATCTTAGGGTTGTGTATATTTCTTTTGGAGGACTTCAACTAAAGCTGTGCAGTGCGCCCCGGAACATGCACAAATTTAAGCTTGATCAGAGGCTGTTTCTTCTTTTGAGGAATATGGAGATTAAACCAAAGCCTAAGTAGGCTCTTTTCAAAATCAAGATTTGTTTTTGTTTATTTGTACAAAAAGCAGCTTCCTTTTAGTGGTTGAAGACTTGAAGTCTTGGAAGACCATCTGTTTTACAATCTAATGTTTGTTTGTATGAGATTGCTTTTGCACTAAGAATATTGGTTTGCATTTATACTCCCTCCGTTTTTTTGTCTTTTCCTAATTAACCCCAACCCTCCCCCCTCACCCCCAAACCACCTCAAATGGCCCATCATACCCAGCCCAACCCAAAAACTTAAAAAAATTCAAAAAAAAAAGAAAAAAAAAAATAATTTGGCCCGGGCAGGGCCCGAACCGGCTGGGCCGGTTCACGATTTAGGAGGCTTGGGCCCGGCCCACCTACCTCACCGGGCCGGGTGGCCCGAACCGGGCACCAACCGGTTCACCGGGCCGGTCCGGGCCCGAACAGTAGCGGGCCGGTCCGGTTCCGGGCTGGTTGGCCCGGCCCGAGTTCACTCCTAGTTGCAAGTTGCAACACTCCCTTTTTCACGTTTACCAACACACAATTTTGACCCTCATTATGTTTAATTATCCATTAGTAGAAAGAAATTAAAAATCAGATTATGAAATTGAAAAATGAGACGAATTCAAAAATATTTTTTAAAAGTAATAATTCACATACATTAATAAGTAAAATGTTATCAAAGTAGAGTACATGAATAGTGTATAAATTTCAATGTTGCAATTATGGTTGGACTCGGGCCGGGCCGGCGGTTCTATATAGCTGGACCCGGGACCGGCCCGGGTAGCCACCGGGTCCGGTCTGGGTCCGGGCCGGGCCTCGGGTTTGGTTTTTTTTTTTTTGCTTAGCCACCGGGTCCGGTCTGGGTCCGAACCGGGCCCGGGCCTTGTTATGGGTGACCCGAGCCCGGACCGGAAACCCACTAGGTCGGGCCTACCCGGACCGGTCACTGACCGGGCCACCGGTTCAGGCCGGGCCGGAACAGTACCGGTCCCGGGCCGGTTCCGGGTCGGGCCACCTGGCCCGAGTCCAACCCTAGTTGCAATTAATATGATAAGGATGATAGTATTTACGTAGTAATTAGTTGAATGTTTTACAAGTCTTATTGTAAATTGTAATGATAGTTCAGTTATAATTGAGCCAAAAGGGTAAATTGTTGTAGTCCCTCGTTGTATATGCAGTTGCAACAATTTTAGTCCATTATTATTAGTATTTCTTTTTTGCAAAACCTAGTAGCGGTTTTACCATTTGCGGTGGGTTTGACCCTTATTTGTGACAAACATAGATTAAATTCATTATAGGGATTAAATCCCTTACTAAGGGATACAAAAAAGTTAATGAGGATCTAAAATGGCAAAAGTGGTCATAGTTTAGGACTTTAGGGACTAAATAGGAATTTACCCAAGCCAAAAAACATGACAGATCATATAATTTTATTGGAAAAAAGCAACTGGAGTCTGATCCTATGCTGGTTGCTAGTACATACTATCTTGGATGCACCTTTTTCTTCTTCTGCACATGGCTGTTGCTGCAATCATGCATGGTGGTCATGCATCCAAACTTCCTCTTCATTTCTTTCCACACACTCATCTTCTTTTTCTCATTCCTCTCCTTACTGTTACTCAAAACCCCATTTTGAATTTGCATCCTCATCATATTGCATTCTTTCTCCAACTCCAACACCTTGTTCCCCATCTTTTCAATCTCTGCCTTCACCCCCTGATCATCATCTTCACTTGCACTCAACTCCACCCCTCCATCTTTCTTCTCAACCTTCAAAGCCCCACAAGATTGAATCATCTCTTTTCCCACTGTGTCCTTCAACCTCATCTGTCCTGCAAACAAGATCTGCACCACCAACCTGGTAGGCAAGCGGTCATTCTGAGCAGCGTGCTGGCATGCTTCAATTGACATCCTGCTGCAATCCAGAACATCACACACCTTCTCCCTCTCCTTCTCTGTCAAATATCTGTGCTTGTCCAAGTAAATATCTACCGCACGGTAGATCCCATCAGAGTTCCGTTTGGCTTCAACCGATACGGAAGCAGATAAGTCTGCAAGTGATGCAAATGTGTCCACTTTTAGGTCCATGTCACTCGCGACCTCGCACAAAAATTCCTCCATGAGGTTTGCCACTTTAACGAAACCCGAGTACTCCGAGCTCGTGTAGTTGTCATAATAAATCTTCAATATCCTCTTCATGCACTCAGTGTCATACTTTTCTTCTGGGGCAGGAGGTATGAGAAGTAGTTCCTTGACCTTTGACTGATCAAGCTGTTTCCCGATTCGCAACTCGAGCCCGTCTCTGCATTCTTGATTAGCATTGAATGATATTGCAGAACGTAACATCTCAAAAAGGGATTTGCAAGAGATGAGTCCCTTCTTTTGAGGTATAACCTTCTCCATAGCTTCTATGACTTCTCTCATGGAGTTTTCAATACGTGAGCCTAGCTATCTCATCAGCAGATAAATCTAAAAATGTGATCAATTTTTTTTTTTTAGTTTACCTGGATGAGGGTATAAACTATGAAGTCCTTGGCAGCCACATGAGCGATTTCAAGGTTTGATCTTTCAGGAGATGCATGTGATGAAAATGAACCTGGGATAATAAACTGGTTAACTAGTTTTGAAATGAAATAAGAATTGTTGGGGTTTTTTCTATTTTCGTGAGAGTTTGGTGAAGAATTAGCTGAAGAATGAGTAAATTCAAACTTCCAGAGCTAAAGAATAGGATTTCTGTTATTTTATTCAATTTTTTCGTTTCAGATAGAAACAATCTTTGTTACTCGTACATTTTTTGGGAAAAAGGGCAAATAAGCCACACACTAACCAAAAAAGGTCAAATAAGCCCTTACATAGGAGACTAGATCTGTCCGGACGTCGCCATTTGGGGCAGTTCCCAGTGGAATTTTTTGATGAATTTTTTTGAGAATCTTATTCATTAAGTCTAGTTTACTCATACCAAATTTCAGCTAACAATTCAATGGAGAAGGCAATCAAATAAATTCTTGAAGATAACTGCGCTTTTAACTGCGCAGTTATCTTCAAGAATTCATTTGAATGCCTTCCTCATTGAAGTTTTAGCTGAAATTTGGTATGAGTAAACTAGACTTGATGAATAATATGCTAAAAAATTGCATAAAAAATTTCCACCTGGAACCACCCCAAATGACGACGGCCGGACATAGCCTCCTATATAAGAGCTTATTTGACCTTTTTTGATTAGTACGTGGGCTTATTTGCCCCTTTTGATTTCTTTTCTTTGCATAACGATCACTGGCCTGCTTTTCGATAAAACACTCCGTTCTTTGTTTTAATCCGGCCTATCCTATTATTGTTATTTTTGTTATATGAGTACTTTTCTCATTAGTCCGGATTGGTCGGAACTGCCGTCGAGCCGATTCTATTTGACATACTTACTGGTGCAATTTTTATAAGATTTTGTAAGTATGTTTGTCATGAAGTGTAGATTACGTACTTAAAATTTCAGATTAAAATTCAACCCGGAAGTCAGTTAAATAAATTATTGAAAAGCAATGTGCCATAATATATGCTCTCTCCGTCCCAAATTGATTTGCAAATTTAACTTTTCTTGGTCAAACTGTTTCATTTTATTTGCTTAATTAGGATGTTAAATTTTAATTATTTTCTAATTTGAAATTTGCAACTTTGAAAAGATTTTAATGAAGTTTCTGAATATTTAAATTTTAATTATTAAAATTTGAATTAATTATCGATAGGGAGGATAGACTTTTATTATTGGTTGATCAAAAAATATTGACTTTACAAAACAATTTGAGATGGAGGGAGTACATAACAACTCAGTGTTTTCCGATAATTTATTTAACGGACTTCCCGATTCAATTTTAAGTTGATTTTTTTTATTTAACCTAATCTAAACTTCATCAGCAGAGGCGGCTTTCATATGAGTAAGGCTAGGCATTTGCCTTGGCCTCATATTCTAGTGGGGTCTCAAAACTATTATTACTAATATAAAATATCTATTTTAATTTAGATAGTTTGATACTCTCTCCGTCCCGCAATGAACTTTCCACTTTCCCTTTTTGGATGTCCCATAAACAAGTTCTCATTTCCTTAAATGACAAGTTAATCTACATCAAAACAGTATCAAACAGTGTAAAACAGTGCCAAACAGTGTCGAAACAGTGCAAAACAGTGTCAAACAGTGTCAAAACAGTGTCAAATTAAAACATTAATTTATCTCATTGTAAGTTTATTTCCTTAATATGTGTAGGTTAAATTGTGAAGTTCATTATGGAATGGAGGGAGTATATTGGTAGTCTAAAATTTGGCTCAAGTAATTTTAGCTTTAACTAGTTGTAAGGCTCGTAGTTACCTTAATTATTAAAGTAATGTTTAATTAATTTGATGGGACTAATTATTTACTTTGATCTTTTATTTTCACTAATAACTAGTAGTATTTCTTATTTGTAAACTTTACCTTTTTATTGTCCGCTTTCTTTGTGATTTTTCTTAAGTATGTTACTGGGCAATAAAAAATCAACAATTGTAAGGATTAAAAAGTTTTACTTCATCTCATTTTAAGGGTTTCATTTAAGGGGAACATTTTTAAGGTAATACATAGTAATTAAATAAGATAATTTGAATATAACTTAATAAATAATGACGGGAAGTATAGAATATAGCGGAGTAATGAATATGATTATAAATGTGATGTTATCAAACTATTAATTTTAATATGTGATGGTTAAATTACAATTTAAAAGAGTAAATTATTTTCTAAAACGAAAGTGAGAATGCGAATTTTTTAAAAGAAACGTCCAAAAAAAGATAAATGATACTCCATTTTATCTAGGACACATGAAGTGTAAGTGTTGGTTCATTTTACATATGTTTACATATAAAATTTCATTATCTTGATGTTCACAATATATATATATATATATATATATATATATATATATATATATATATATTTTGGTTCAAATAAGAATAAGATCTTAGGAGACAAATGAGAATGAATCTGGCCCGTTAGATTTACTTTAAGTGAAATTCAATGCGCATAAGATGAAATTGTAATGTGCATTAGGTGAAATTGAAATGTGCAGCACAAATGGTACGATAGAGTGACATTATGTGTAGCTGAATTGTGCATTAAGTGAAATGGAAATGTGTACCAGGTGAAACTGAAATGTGCAAAATAAAAGGTACGATATGATGTTATTTTTGTACCTTTTATTCCGCACATTTCCGTTTCATCTAATGTACATTTGAGTTTAAATTTTTATTCTGCACATTTCAATATCATCTGATGCACATTTCAGTTTCACCAAATGCACAATTCAGTTCCACATAATACTAACGGTCCAGATTCGTTCTCATTTCTCTCCTGGGAGTCCATGCTTACCGGAACCGTTCCCTATATAGGTATATATATATATATATATATATATATATATATATATATATATATATATATATATATATATATATATATATATATATATATATATATATATATATATATATATATATATATATATATATATATATATATATATATATATATATATATATAGGGATCGGATCAGGTGAGAAGTGCCCTTAGGCTGAGAACTGCGAAGTTTAACTTATAGACTAAAAACACGAACTTTTAACTAATAAATCATAACTTATAGACCCCCTCGAAAATAATTATGAAAACGCCACCGCAAAAACTAACTCCCGAAACCTTCAATTTTTTTTGACGTGGTGACATTTCCGTAATTATGATGGAGAACTTTATAAGTTATGATTTATTGGTTATAAGTTCCTATATTCAGACTATAAGTTTACTGCGTTGTAAGATTAGATGCAAATCTAAGGGCTGAGATTACTTCTCACTTCTCATTTCTCATTTTAAGGGGGACTTCTCTCTCTCTCTCTCTCTCTCTCTCTCTCTATATATATATATATATATATGATGCACTTTGAATATGCGTTGTTTTTTTTTACATTTTGTATTTTTATTCAATTCATATCATAGAAATCACATTAATATGATACGTCAATATTAAACATTTTTCTTTCTAGAGCCTCAGGGGTTGTCAAGATGCCTTTGACTTCATGAAAAACATTCTCACGAAATTTCATTAATAAATTCTTCCTTAAAGCACCTCAAATGGAGGCGATCAGACAGCCGAGACTAATGACAAAAGTTCTCTATGTAATATTCATAATCCATGTGGTTGCTTTTTGCTTCGCTTTCGTTTTCTTGGGGTTTAACAAACTTTTATGGAGTGTATATTTATGGTTTAGGCAATGGCTTTTTGTAGTTTTGCACATTTATATTTTGCAAGTTCTTTTTGCAGTGAACAATGAACATGTACTGGATAATACATCCAAATTAAGTCGATTTTTTTACTGTAAGTTTCACATTTTTACATATCAAATTGTTCATTAATTATCAAGTCTCATCACTCAAGTTTAATACAAAAAGACGTCTGATATAGGAATTCGTACTACTCACTGAATTTGCTTGCATAATAGTGCAATCAACATTTTTGAAAAAGACAGTGTTACAAATATTTTAGATAGTAACATTTGAAATTTATTACAATATACCATCTTACATGATAATATAAATACGAAAAATATAAATATATCACGCTAAATGTTTTGTGAGGATATGATTATAGTTCTAGTATTGACATTTCGCTTATTATATTTCAAAATGATATTATTTAATTTTAGGTAAAAGTTCATAAAATAAAATACCATGTTCTTAATTGTGTGTGTTTGGTTAAGTATATTTGGATATTAAATATTAATTGTCATTGTGAAATCTTTGCTAGTAATCGCATAAACAAATCTTTGCTAGTTTTCCTTTGGTAAAACTAAAGGAAAAAGGTAGAAACACCTGCTATGTTTTGTCTGGCGTGTTAACAATTAATGCTAATACTTTCTCATATTTAAGTGATTAATTGAATATAAGGTCATGTATTCATACAAAATAAATGCTCTACCTCTACGTGAACTGCTATCATCTATTCAATAAATGTTGCACGTCATGCATGGAAGCCATGCATATTATTTACGTGTATTATTTGATGTACAATATTTTTAGTGGTCAAAGCTTACCCACCTTTTTCCTATTTCTTTGGCTGTTTAGTTGGAGTCGAGTCTAAATTCCTCTCGATTACTTGATATTTAATTTTGTATCAGAGCGGTTATTTACACATACCCTACTTACATCATGACCGGCAACAGTACCCCGACGTCCTCAAGCACCGGAAACATTAACATGCATGAGGAATCACGACGACGAAAAATTTAGGGGTGAGCAAATAACCGATTTAACCGACCTGACCGAAAACCGATGACCGAACCGACCGAAAAAATCACTTTCCGGTCGGTTTTCGGTTATAATAAAATAAAAAGAACCGGTTATTCGGTTATTCGGTTTTTATTCGGTTATACTTATCGGTTATCGGTCGGTCACCGATAACCGTCCAAAATATATAAGTATATATACTCCATAGTAGAGTAGTCTTCCGATAAATTCTGGACAGGAACCGTCGTCCGGCCGACGGATTTTGGGGATCTTCCCGGTGGAGTTTTTTGATGAAATTTTTATGGCATGTTCTTCATTAAATCTAGTTTATCCACAATAATTTCAGATAAATATTTTATCGGAAAGGTCGTCAAATGATTTTTGGAAGTTAACTGTGCTAAAAAATACATATAAAACGCAGTTAACTTCCAAAGATCATTTGACGAGCTTCCCGATGGAATTGTTTGCTTAAATTTGGTATGTATGAACTATACTTGATGAAGAACATGACATTAAAATTTCATCAAAAAATTCCACCGACCGATTATGGTCGGTTATTCAGTTACCGACCGAAACCGAATGACATTTTTCGGTCGGTTTTTGTAATGTTGTCGGTCGGTTTTCGGTCGGTTATTTGAGTAAAAAATATTTATCGGTTATTCGGTTATCGGTCGGATATTTGACCGACCGACCGAATGCTCACCCCTAGAAAAATTACCGATCCCACTTCCCCATATTACTTGGCGAGCTCAGATTCTCCAGGGCAGAACATCTGTGGGTTCACCTTGAAAGGGGAAGGGAATTACTTGCAATGAGTCGCCATGCAAAATGCCTTCCATGCTAAATGGAAGATTGGCTTCATGGATGGCACCATTACCTGACCGACTGAACACAATGAAGGCATTGTGGATTGGATCAACGTTAACTCAATGCTGGTGGGATGGGTTATGACGGCAATTGACTCATCCCTACGATCGAATATCGCCTACATGGATGATGTTCACGATTTGTGGGATGATCTGTAGGTGAGGTTTGCAATTGGCGATTCCATGCGGTGTTGGAATAATCTTAAATTTAGCTATTAGTTATTTGGTTCATTTATTCATTAATTATGTATTTGTTATCATTTGAATAAGTCTAAGTAGTGTTAGCTATTGTTTAGGCATTATTAATGCTTAGTTGCTTAGGTGGTTGGTTATACACGTTTGAATATGACTATAGTTTAGGAAGTTTGTGTGGCCATTATCTCATGTAAACTGGCTATATAAAGCAATTTATTTGCAAAATAGATGAGCTTTTGATCATCTTCTTTCTCATGTAGTTCTAATTCTAGTTCTAGAGTGTAGTTCCAATATGTAGTGATATTCATTTAGAGCCATCATTTGGTATCAGAGCCAGCATGATCTAGGGTTTGTGAGTTGAAATCTTATACGTACACCTATATATATATATATATATATATATATATATATATATATATATATATATATATATATATATATATATATATATATATATATATATATATAGGGAGGTTCAAATACAAAGTACTACTTATATGAAAAATGAGAAGTAATCTTAGCCGTTAAAATGAGAAAATGAGTGGATCAGATCAATTTTTAAGGAAAAATTCAGTGCCAAAAGTGTAATTATTAAAAACTTTTTTGAAAACTAACGTGACAAATGTGCATCACTACGGAGGAAAAGTGCATTAGACTAACAAAAAAGTGCATCACTTTTCGGGAAAAACATAACGAGGATAAAGACCGTTTCTGATATATTTTTAGAAGGTGAATGTGCACCATTACATATTGCATATGCACTTTTGCTATTATGTATTGCACATTTTGGTTGATCGTGAGTTTTGATCTATACCATCCATTTTTAAGTAATCAAGGGCTTAGATTACTTCTCACTTTTCATGAGAAGACCTCTTTATATATATATATATATATATATATATATATATATATATATATATATATTAAGTATTTAGTTTTCATATTCAATGGCATCAAATAACTTCTCCATCTCTATTCCATTGTTCAAAGGTGATAACTATCATTCTCGGGTCATCAAAATGAAAGCATACATGAAAGCTCTTAGTTTATGGGACGTCTTTGAGAGTGACACGGAGCCTACTCCTCTTTCTGGAAATCCAAGACCAGCCCAAATCAAGAAACATGAAGAAGAAATGACACGAAAGCCAAAGGCACTTTCATGTATCCATTCAGCGGTGTCCGAAGAGATTTTCACAACAATCATGGGTTGTGAGTGTCCTTAAGAAGCATGAGAAAAAATTAAAGAGGAGTTCGAAGGCAACCAACAAACCAAACTTATGCAAATTCTCAACCTCAAAAGGGAGTTTGAGATGATGGGGATGAAAAGTAACGAAGGTGTCAAAGGATATGGAAATAGGTTGATGTCCATTGTCAATCAAATCAAATTACTTGGGGGAGATTTTTCAAGTCAAAGGGTTGTGGACAAGCATTTGGTAACTCTTCCGTAGTAGTTCCGGAGAGATATGAGACTAAGATCTCTTCACTTGAAGATACTAAAGATCTCTCAAAATTAACTGTCACCGAATTAATCAATTCTCTCTATGCCGTTGACCAAAGGAGATCAATGCGGGAGGAAGAAAATGGAGGAAAAAATGAGGGACTCCTGTTAGCTAAATCCTCATTCTCAAAAGGCACATGCAATAAATTTCAATGCAACCATTGTCATAAGATTGGTCATGAACCATTGGCACAAAGGAAAGCCACAATGCTTCAAATGCAAAAGGTATGGGCATCTGGCAAAGAATTGTAGATTCCAAACTGAAGAAGAAGACTTGGCACATTTGGTCGAGGCATAATCTCTACTTTAGAAATATGGGTGATTATGTGCACCATGGGGAGAAGTGCTCCAGAGTGTTTATTTTGATGAGACGTGCATAAAAAATTGGTGGTGGTGAGAAGTGCATCACAGATGAAGAGAAGTGCTTCGTAAATTTAAGATTATGGGGGTGATTGTTGGAATAATCTTAAATTTAGCCATTAATTATTTGGTTCATTTATTCATTAATTATTTATTTGTTATCATTTGAATAAGTCTAAGTAGTGTTAGCTATTGTTTAGGCATTATTAATGCTTAGTTGCTTAGGTAGTTATACACGTTTGAATATGGCTATAGTTTAGGAAGTTTGTGTGGCCATTATCTCATGTAAACTGGCTATATAAGGCCTAATTTATTTGCAAAATAGATGAGCTTTTGATCATCTTCTTTCTCATATAGTTCTAATTCTAGTTCTAGAGTGTAGTTCCAGTATGTAGTGATATTCATTTAGAGTCATCATGTGGATCCATGAACTCAAAGAGATGATACGAGGGTGTAGGCAGAATGGAGATTCAATTTCGGTCTATTATGGTCGGCTGAAAACCCTTTGGGATGAATATAAGGGTACTGAGTGGCACCCAAATGCGCATGCAACAAGTGCATGTGTGATCTGGCAAACCAGTTTGCTAGGCAAATAGAAGCCGAGAAGTGTCACGAATTTTTGCTTGGATTGAATATGGAATTATTTTGGACCTTGCGTTCAAATATCCCAAGTCAAGAGGAATTGCCGGCATTGACCAGACAGCACAAAATGTTTACACAGGAAGAGCGTCATAGGAATATGATGCGAGGGAGAGAGGAGCGAACTGATGATGTGGCATTTACGGCTGGATCTGGTTCCTTCCCTGATCGATCTGAACAGAAGGTCATTTGTGCCTTTTGTAAGAAGCCCAAACATGTGATTGACCAGTGTTTTAAGCGCACCGGTAAATATCCGGACTGGTGGTACAATAACCCAAGGGAAGGACGAGGAGGATGTGGCCGGGGTGCTGGCCGTGGACGCAACAAAGCTGTGGCAAATGCTATTTGTATTGATGAGCCACTTGGATCTGGTGAGTCTCAGGTGGGGACACAAGCAACAAACAACAATCAGCCTCCTTCTTTGACTGATGAACAGTGGAGAGGCTTTCTACAGCTCATGAAAACTTGTAAATTCGGTATCAACTGAAAAATTAACATGTATGAGCGGACAAATTGAGTGGCTCCTAGATTCGGAAGCTTCATACCATATGACCGGAGACGCACAATTATCTCAGTCAAATGAGTCAATTCTGCCTACTCCGGTGACCTTGCCAAATAGAGATGTGACATATGCAACTTTACGAGGCTGGATTATTTTGTGTCACAAAATTATTTTGCATAATGTTCTCTTTGTACCAGGACTCATGTGCAATCTTATTTCTGTGGGACGATTAATTGATGATTTGAAATGCATTATATTGTTTACTAATCAGATTTGTGTAATACAGGACCTGCCTACGAGCTGAGGATGCCGATCGGAATGGGTAGACGCCGTGGGGGAGTGTACTATTTTCACCGTATTGAGGAAACTCTTGCGCTAGGAGTAGGAGAACAGAATAAAAGTGAGATTTGGCATGCAAGGCTCGGCCATCCTTCACTATCAGTATTGCGTAAAGTTTCTAGTTTTAATAGTGGGATTTCTTCTGTTAATTTGAAAATAAACCTTGTGATGCTTGTTTACGGGCTAAGAAAACCAGAGATGTATTTGGAATAAATTCTGCCAGTGCTACTGATTGTTTTGAATTAGTCCATTGTGATGTATGGGGTCCTTATCATTTTCCATCTTCTTGTGGTGCCCGTTATTTTTTGACTATTGTGGACAATTACACTAGGGCGGTATGAGTGCATTTAATGAAGGACAAGACCTAGGTTGGAACAATTCTTAAACAATTTTTCGCTATGACCAAATGCCAATTTCAAAAGGATGTGCGTGTGGTACGTAGCGACAATGGTACAGAATTTTGTGCCATGAAAAATTATTTATTGGATCATGGAATAATTTTTCAAACCTCCTATGTGTATATTTCACAACAAAATGGCCGGGTGGAACGCAAACATAGGCATATTCATGAGGTGGCTAGGGCCTTACGGTTTCATGCCAATTTACCTTTAGACTTTTTGGGGGAATGCATCCCAGCCGCAGGTTATTTAATAATCGCTTGCTGATAAGTCTGTATTTAGACATGCATTTGATGCGTGTTGGGATCGGGTTTGATGGTTTTCCCTAGCTTTAAGGTGTTACAAGTCTCAATTTTAGCTCAAGTTATGTTTACCGGGCGTTGGTTCGAGTTTTGTGTCATTTAGAGTCAAAATGAGGATTTTAGAGTTCGCCACCGACGCTTGAGAAGAAATCAGGATGGGTTGAGAAGCATTCAAGAGTGATTTTAGAGTTTTGGAGGTCACCGGGAGGTTCACGATGAAGATTTGAAGGAAAAAGAGCTCTAGGATTGGCTACTGGATCAAAAGAAGATGGATGGAGCTTGAAATCGGCGATCAGGATGACCTTCTGTCAATCGTTCAAGCATATCGCTTTGTAGAAACATTTAATGTACACTATTCAAAGTCCATATGAAATCTAACTTCAAGAGCTACAAATCATATGAAGACACCTTTGGTAGAATCTGAGAGAAAGAAGGTGAAAACAGATGATGAAGTCAGATGATCTCTGCTGCGATTTCAGAATGATACCATCCACCGTTTTGATCATATCTCTTGATTGGATGAATCAAATCATATTCGGAAAATTGGGGTGTATAGAGGACTTCATTATCTACAACTTTCATGAAGGAAGAATTGCCAAATTCGGAAGTTAAGTAGGAACGAGCGTGCCCTCAAAGTCAGGCACGATCGTGCGTGAAGAGAAAGCATCGCGGAGCTACTGCCAGGCAGGCACGATCGTGCCTTCCCAAAATGCGCGCTTTTTATCCGGAGGCATGATCGAAGGCACGATCGTGCCTGCGTCCGGAAATACCAATTCAGCTCAAATTTTACCCGATTTTTCTATTTAAACAGCCTGTAAACTCCCGTTTGAAGTGGGAGCTTAGAGAGAGTACCTAGCACAAAATTTAGAGAGCTATTCAGCCCTGTTCATCAATCTTTTGGGATTCTTTGTAAGTTCCATCTTTTTAATTAATGACAATTAATTCTATTCTTCCCAATCCTGTTGATTCTTCAATTATGAGTTGTGAGTAGTTTTAATTAGTGATGAAAGGGTTAGGATATTTTTACTGGGACTGTAATTTGCTGGTCTGGTCTGGTCTGATCTGGTCTGGTCTGGTCTGGTCTGAACTGGTCTGGTCTGGTTTCTTTGTATTTTTATAACTATCCAAGTCTGGTCTGGTCTGGTCTGATCTGGTCTGGGACGAATTACAGTCCAAGTAAAAGCATCCTTAATCATGATGTATGACTAGTTTCTTGATGGTTTAATTTCATGAATGCCGTTTAATTTGTGTTCGAATAATTTAACTGATATCTCTTGTAACCTAGATGGCCACTAGGATTATAATTGTATGTAGAATAAATTAAGAGAGATCTAGTT